GTGATTTTAGGTGATTTTTAACTACTTGCAAGTGATATTTGGGAGGTGCGACTGGGGCCGCGAATAATTTTTGGAGGGTAATAATTTTTGGAGGATACGCCACTGCGTATCGTTCCGTCCCTAAAAACATTGCACGTTATAGAAATTTTTTCATGCATCTGTAGGATTGCCAGTTTTGTTTCTTGAATAGGCATCAGTTTTTTAGATCTTGTCTAATTTTCTTAGATCAGCCGAAAAGCCGTTCACTGAACTGCTGTGGCAGTGATTGTTATTTATACGGTATGTGACAATAAAATGAATTAATGAATGAAATTAATGAATTACGGATGTGTCCTCGTAATGGTTTTAACATGGCCTGTCAATTTTTTTAGTATTATTAAAGTGAATCAAATTTGTCCTGATAAATGAGTTATAATGTAAATAGTTATTAAAAAGTATGTTTCTAGCTTACGCCTATGTAAATACTGTACATCTTAAACGTTTTTTAGAAATCTATTTTTAGTTGTCACGGCAAGTTTGTTTGGTATTTTTCAGACAGGTCATTATTTTGTAACGTCATGTGACCAGAATAATCCAGATTCAACATGCCTCTGAATGTTACAAATTTTTTATATCACTGCAGATGTTTATTGCGGTCATGTGCAATAATCGTTTGTATACTACTGTATGCATACCATAGAATTATAAGAATTGTCAATGAAAATATGATACCGTACTCGCGCGAATAAGCTTCCCGTTTGAATAAGTGCCCCTCCTCACATGAACATTTTCTTAAGCGTCTCGTTTCAATAAGCGTTTCTAATTTGAATAAGAAACTATCAATCTAATCATACAGTACAGTACATCACCGACTTAATTTTCTGTCTGATGAATAAGCTATTCACATCTCAGCATTGTTGGACGGCCTGTCCGTCCATCCATCTGTCGGTCGGTCAGTCTCCAATGCCCCATTAAGTGTTCAGTTTTTTTTCTTCTCTTTCTTTTTCCTGACATGCACCTTTAGCACGTTCTCATCTGAGTTTACAAGAAAACCTGCAAAGATCCTGATATCTCAATCAGCAGATGGTCAACAAGATTACCACCGCACCACCGCCACTAATTTCACCTTCTGTTGTGTAAAATACCCACAGCATTACTTGTCGTGAGCCATGCTTTCTGCACCAGAACCATTCATTTATCTTCTGTTTCCTTAATAATCTTTTTTTTTTTTATTCAAGTGTCCCTTGAATTTTCCAAGATCCCATAATCACCCCTCAATTTTAATTTATTTCCATAAGCGCCCCCTCAATTTCCAATCTGTTTTCATAAGCGCCCCCGTTTAAACCTTGGTTTAAATAAGCGCCCCTTGAAAGGGCGAATAAATATTTTAAGCGCCCGGGCGCTTATTCGCGCGGCACTGTTTGTATCGGGCACAATAGGCAGTAGCACGTCCTCTAGTATACGCCGTGCTTAGTTTCTTGTCGATAGAGGGCATAATCAGTCTAAAGTAATAAATCTAAGTTTGTTGCAAACCATTTTGTGTACTGTATTGCTTGAAGCTTTGCAAGGAATGGATCCAAGATAATAATGATTTGATCTAATTTCTCTCATCATTGACATTACCAATATTTGTTTTTGTTATCATTCATTATTATCTGAATAAATATCTGAATCTGACTGTGGATATGTAAAAATTAGTAAGTGCTTGCTGTATACTGGGTCGAATTTACTCAAGATTCAGCAAAAATTGCCCAAAATTACCCAAGCTTTCTGAAAATGCATTAACATTTGAAAAATACGTGTTTTTCGCAAGTATAGTTTCCCTTTTAGCTTATAAACCAATTTTTTTTATTGTAATTGTTTGTGTTAATTATTAAAATTAATATTCATGGGGCGATAATACGGATAGAAAAATACGCCCTCAGTCGGCCAGTGTTATCAGTAGATCAGTGATCAAGTTTTATTATGTAATGCATTAATTAGGTAAGATCAATGGCAACGCAAATCACAATTAAACAATTCTGAACCCATGTTTATAGCAATTAAAAATGTTATGTGCACTTCGTTGAGTTTTGCTTACTTGAATGGACTGAAATATACTTTGTTACTTCTTAATTCTTCCTGACAAAAATATTTAATTTTCTTAGTAAAAATAAAATACATAAGGATTTGAAAGGAATACCCAAGAACCCAAGACCAAGTCAAAATACCTAAGATCTTGGGTAAATACCCAAGCAGTGGTCACGCTGATACTGATGTTTAGATAAAATTTAGAGCTCTGTCTACACTATTTGACTATGAGGCGCCAAGTGTAAATTTATTATTCAACACAATTATTTATATATAATTCATTATTTAACATATAATTAAATAAATCACCCATTATTTATATATAATGCATTTACGTCTAAAAGATTATATGTAAATAATTGCGTTAACGTTTCATTATTTATATATAATTAGTTTACTGATTACATTATATATAAATAATGAAAGGCTAACCAAACATTATTTATATATAATAAGGTTACTGGTTTCATTATATATAAATAAGGAAAGGGTAACACATCATTATATATAAATAATGAAAAATATCACACACACATTAATAAGATCTCTATGGTTGTCAAAAATCCCTGATAAAAGATCATGAGAATTTTTGTTGGCGCTTCACTTTGACTAATGGTGATGTGATGATGAATTTTACTAAAAGTGTCATTTCTGGCCATCTAGAGGTACTATTTCCTCAAATTTTCTCACCTCAGCTCCAACCATGGTGGGGCTGAGGTGAGTGCCCTCCACCTTTCAAAACAGATCTGTGCCCTTCCTTGGGTACCGTATGACATTAATCTCCATCGAGTTGGCTCCTGATGTATGTCTGTTTGCTTTTAGGATGTGATCTGGTTTTTCGTGATTATGACTATTCTGGATAAAGAATGTTTTGAGCAGAGGTGGATTTAAGGCCCCTTCCCTTCATTTGTTTAAGGAAAAAAAAAAGAAAAATATATTCAAGTTGAAGTGCGAGAGTGTAATTTCCGGCCATCTAGAGATGCCCTAATCATAAATTTTCTCGGTCTGTGAAAGCCCCTCCCTCGTTCACCTCTCTTTCGAATTCCTGGATCTGCCACTGTTGATTTATTGTATAATTATTTTTGCGCTTATTTATAATGCGTCTATTGCAATTTTCACTTTATCCTCTCAAACAGTCCTAAGAACGTTTAGAGTACGCTACTTCACAGGGGGATTCGCCCCCATGACCCCGCCGGGGTCCTACGTAATTCACATAACGGCTCCCCCCCCCCCTTTCAAAATCCTGGCTACGTCCCTGTTCAGGGACCCTGACCGAGGCTCTAGTTGGCCCTTTGTGGGACCCTCCTGTTGGGCAGGAGCCACCATTGCACGTGAAGTTGTTGAAGGTATCATCAGTGGCATATCTATAAGTCTTGAAATGGGGATGCTGATGGGGGCGCGAATGTGAAGTGGGGTGGGGGCTCGATGTTCAGTTTTGCACTAACTCGCAAAATAAGGTGATTTTAGGTGATTTTTAACTACTTGCAAGTGATATTTGGGAGGTGCGACTGGGGCCGCAAATAATTTTTGGAGGGTAATAATTTTTGGAGGATACGCCACTGCGTATCGTTCCGTCCCTAAAAACATTGCACGTTATAGAAATTTTTTCATGCATCTGTTAGTAGGATTGCCAGTTTTGTTTCTTGAATAGGCATCAGTTTTTTAGATCTTGTCTAATTTTCTTAGATCAGCCGTAAAGCCGTTCACTGAACTGCTGTGGCAGTGATTGTTATTTATACGGTATGTGACAATAAAATGAATTAATGAATGAAATTAATGAATTACGGATGTGTCCTCGTAATGGTTTTAACATGGCCTGTCAATTTTTTTAGTATTATTAAAGTGAACCAAATTTGTCCTGATAAATGAGTTATAATGTAAATAGTTATTAAAAAGTATGTTTCTAGCTTACGCCTATGTAAATACTGTACATCTTAAACGTTTTTTTAGAAATCTATTTTTAGTTGTCACGGCAAATTTGTTTGGTATTTTTCAGACAGGTCATTATTTTGTAACGTCATGTGACCAGAATAATCCAGATTCAACATGCCTCTGAATGTTACAAATTTTTTATATCACTGCAGATGTTTATTGCGGTCATGTGCAATAATCGTTTGTATACTACTGTATGCATACCATAGAATTATAAGAATTGTCAATGAAAATATGATACCGTAGTCGCGCGAATAAGCTTCCCGTTTGAATAAGTGCCCCTCCTCACATGAACATTTTCTTAAGCGTCTCGTTTCAATAAGCGTTTCTAATTTGAATAAGAAACTATCAATCTAATCATACAGTACAGTACATCACCGACTTAATTTTCTGTCTGATGAATAAGCTATTCGCATTGTTGGACGGCCTGTCCGTCCATCCATCTGTCGGTCGGCCAGTCTCCAATGCCCCATTAAGTGTTCAGTTTTTTTTCTTCTCTTTCTTTTTCCTGACATGCACCTTTAGCACGTTCTCATCTGAGTTTACAAGAAAACCTGCAAAGATCCTGATATCTCAATCAGCAGATGGTCAACAAGATT